CACACACACACTCAATTAAAGCAAAATTCCACCCAAATCACCAAGATGTGCCTGCTCTCCAGCCGAAGCCCCGGTAACCCACCAGGTTCCAGATGACTCCCGCTGAGAACCTGTTACCTTGCCCAGACTCAGTCTAGGTGCAATGGCAGGGTCAAGTGTGCTCAAGACGGGTTGAGCTTCCTGAGTCATCCTGAGTCCCAGGCCCACAACGAAGCCAACAGGAGCGTTCACCCAGCCCTTGTTCTTAGTGCCGACAGCAGAACCCTGTCCTAAGATGAGTTCTTCTCAGCCCCCTTCCCAAAGATAGCCCCAACCCAGTGCCCACTGGGGTCCATGGAAGTCTTTGCATGGACTCCAATGGGCACCGATCATGTCTAGGGCTTCAGGATGCTCCAATGTGGGATTCTGTGTTGGCCCATTCTAGTGAGAGGCCCCAACCTTGGAAATCCTTCCCCAGTCTCCCGACTCTCTGCTTAGTTACAGCCATGCCGGCCCACGGCGTCCCTTACAGACGTACCTCTTGTCACTGGCATAGGGGGCCTTTCCTCCCAACACTACCCAGAACTCCGCCGGCTCTTGGCCCTCCAGAACGGTCTGCTTGTCCCGTTTGGAGATGATGTTGGCCACCATCTTCGCGACCTCTCTCTCATCTCCGCTGCAGCCCTGCATTCACAGGGCACAAGATCAAAGGGATTCAGGTGGGGCCTGGCAAAATTGGTCTGCAAGCTGATGGTTGATGCATCACTGCCCCCTGGTGGAAAGAGCTAGCATTGGGATGATTCCCCTCCCCCCCCCCCTTTCAGTGGCTGGGCCAATTAATTCTGCAGGGAGAGATGGTAGAGGTGTCAGTCATTGTTATGACTGTTGTTTGCAGTCATCTAGGCCCTGAGCCTCAAAGGCATTTAGGCACCTAACTCCCATTGCTCTCAGCAGAAAGGAGAGCTCAGTGGTTTGAGCATTGGCCTGCTAAACCCAGGGTTGTGAGTTCAATCCTTGCAGAGGCCATTTGGGGCAAAAATTTATCAGGGATGGTACTTGGTCCTGCTGTGAAGGCAGGGGACTGGATTGGATGACATTCCAGCTCTAGGAGATAGGCAATCTCTATTAATTTAGATATTTTAGCCTTGAGGATCTGGCCTGTGGGACTCATTCTCCCAGTGGGCCCATTAAAACTGGTGAGTCTACTTTTGTAACAGGGCACCAGTCAACAGGAGCGAGGGGGGTGCACGTGGGCATGGTGTCAAGGTTGCACTGCCCTGTCATCCGCTCACTTACCTTCCCACACCACAGGTAGCAGACCTGGCTGGTCTTGAGCAGGAAGACGTCGTTGGAGTTGAGGGAGGAGGCCCGGGCTGGCACCTCGATGGTTTTGGTGTTGAGCTCGTCGGTGCCCCTCACTTGGAAGAGACGGACCTCGGGCTCGGGCTCGTTAGACTGAGCACGACTCGTGCCTCCCTACAAAAGTGAGGTGTGAAGCGTGCGAAAGCCCAGAAGGCCTCTGGTGAGAAGAGCAGGCTTGGGCATCTAGCCCTTCAAAGGACCAGAAACAAGGGTCTGAGTGGAGCGTCTTCCCTCACGTCAGTGGTCTTAGGCCCAGCACCCAGATCTCCCACCAGGAAACCTGTCAGGCTGCTACACGCCTGCGATGAGCATTTGCCGGTGACACAGGGGCCTGAATGGGGCCTGCTGAGGAGGGAGTCTCCCAAGTGAATCTGCTCATCTTCTCCTAGCCCCCTCCCTCTTGCTTCCCCTGACTCTGTGCCCAGGGGCGGATGAGGATTTTGCGGGGCCCAGGGCAGCATAATTTCGCACGGCTCATGCGCGGGGCTTCTTGAAGTGCGGGGCCCGGGGCGGCCGCCCCGCTTGCCCTGCCCTATATCCGCCCCTGCCTGGGATAGTACTCTTCCTAGAGACCTGATCCAGCCCCTCCCCCCCCCCCCTTTCAGTGGCTGGGCCAATTAATTCTGCAGGGAGAGATGGTAGAGGTGTCAGTCATTGTTATGACTGTTGTTTGCAGTCATCTAGGCCCTGAGCCTCAAAGGCATTTAGGCACCTAACTCCCATTGCTCTCAGCAGAAAGGAGAGCTCAGTGGTTTGAGCATTGGCCTGCTAAACCCAGGGTTGTGAGTTCAATCCTTGCAGAGGCCATTTGGGGCAAAAATTTATCAGGGATGGTACTTGGTCCTGCTGTGAAGGCAGGGGACTGGATTGGATGACATTCCAGCTCTAGGAGATAGGCAATCTCTATTAATTTAGATATTTTAGCCTTGAGGATCTGGCCTGTGGGACTCATTCTCCCAGTGGGCCCATTAAAACTGGTGAGTCTACTTTTGTAACAGGGCACCAGTCAACAGGAGCGAGGGGGGTGCACGTGGGCATGGTGTCAAGGTTGCACTGCCCTGTCATCCGCTCACTTACCTTCCCACACCACAGGTAGCAGACCTGGCTGGTCTTGAGCAGGAAGACGTCGTTGGAGTTGAGGGAGGAGGCCCGGGCTGGCACCTCGATGGTTTTGGTGTTGAGCTCGTCGGTGCCCCTCACTTGGAAGAGACGGACCTCGGGCTCGGGCTCGTTAGACTGAGCACGACTCGTGCCTCCCTACAAAAGTGAGGTGTGAAGCGTGCGAAAGCCCAGAAGGCCTCTGGTGAGAAGAGCAGGCTTGGGCATCTAGCCCTTCAAAGGACCAGAAACAAGGGTCTGAGTGGAGCGTCTTCCCTCACGTCAGTGGTCTTAGGCCCAGCACCCAGATCTCCCACCAGGAAACCTGTCAGGCTGCTACACGCCTGCGATGAGCATTTGCCGGTGACACAGGGGCCTGAATGGGGCCTGCTGAGGAGGGAGTCTCCCAAGTGAATCTGCTCATCTTCTCCTAGCCCCCTCCCTCTTGCTTCCCCTGACTCTGTGCCCAGGGGCGGATGAGGATTTTGCGGGGCCCAGGGCAGCATAATTTCGCACGGCTCATGCGCGGGGCTTCTTGAAGTGCGGGGCCCGGGGCGGCCGCCCCGCTTGCCCTGCCCTATATCCGCCCCTGCCTGTGCCACCCGCCCTGTGACGGGACTCTTTAATTCTCTCCACGAAGGCTGCTCAGCACTGGTTGGGACAGAGCGCTGCAGCTAGTGGCTAACGGCTCAGTTTGGGCATCAGATGGGAGCCGAGGCTCTCTGATTCCAGGGTGACTGTAAGGATCCTGAGTGCTCTAGCTTCAGCTATGCCTCAGGCTTGCCGTGGAACCAGGGGCAAGCCACCTGGGTGGGCTGCTAAGCAGGCAACTCTGGCCTAACTCTGCTCCCAGCTCAGCCAAGCGTCAGGCCTATTGCTGGGCTCCATTTCATCTGTGGATCACTTGTAACGCAGGGTCCAGGCACCCCATGGCAGGGTTAGCTCCACAGGTACCAACTTTTGAATGCCTTGGGAGGTGCTCCCTCCACCCCCGCTAGGTACCTCATAAATAATCAGGTTGCCCTTAAAGATGGCCAGGAAGTGCTGAGGCTCCTTGCCCATCGTCACTCGGACCTGCACCGGCTCGTTCCCGTACTTTTTGTCCAGCTCTACAGCATTGAAGGCGCAAGCAGTGATTTCATCCACGGAGGCGTGGCGGCCCTAGGGTCGAACGAGAGGCGCTTGGTAATGCGGTTCAGGAGGGGCCCTTCAGGAGATGCTAAGTGCAGGGAACATCTCTTTAAAAGGCTATTAGCCAGGGGATAAAATGGTGTCCTTGGCCTCTGTTTGTCAGAGGCTGGAGAGGGATGGCAAGAGACAAATTGCCTGATCATTGTCTTCGGTCCACCCTCTCTGGGGAACCTGGTGCCGGCCACTGTTGGCAGACAGGCTACTGGGCTAGATGGACCTTTGGTCTGACCCAGGACGGCCGTTCTTATGTTCTCGTGGTTACCAAAGGTGGTGGGGGGGGGAGAGGGAATATCCTGGGCCTGATTCCCCATTTCTTTGTATTGTCATGCACCCCTCTGCAAAGCGAGGCTGTCTGTAGCCACTTCTGGGGTGGAGCAAAGCAGCCTGGCACACACGCTATACTTGGTGCACAAACAGAGGGTGACATAAGGTGCAAGGCACTAGAGAATCAAGTCCCCTAGTTCTGCTAGATTTATGAAAAGTGGGGGAGGGTGGAGGATGAGGGTACGGTCTTTTTCTTTTGTGTGTGTGTGTGTGTGTGTGTGCGCGCGCGTGCGCACATGCCAAACTTGGTTGCTGCTTTGACAAAATGCAGGCCACACAAGTGAAATCCCCTGCCCCACCTGCCAGAGGAAACCATCTGTAGTCCTCATGGCCTGGGACTGAAAGAACATTCCCTGACAAGCAGCACGGTGTGGAATGAGCTGCTATGCTTCCACAGGGTCCTTTCCAAGCCCTGCCATGCTCTTCAGCAGCCGCTCATCGCCTCGGGGCAGCAATGAGCTCATGGCTTCCTTCCAGACTGACATTTGCCTCCTCTAGTCTAGCACTCTGAGGAACAGCAGAAAAACCAGCACTGCCACTTGCAGCTTGATTAGACCACACCCTTCAGTGTCATACCTTAGACCACCACATGGAAGGGTGAAGCACCTCGCATCACTGACTCAACTGGGGTCTAGGGTGTGGGTTTTTTTTTGAAAGAACAGGACAGAACCAAAGATCCTTGGCCCTTCAAAGAGGAGTGGGGTTGGGCTATTTTTGTATTTTCCTCCATTCTAGTTAAGCACTGGAATAAATTGCCTAGGGAGGTTGTGGGACGTCATTTAAGAGCAGGAGCTTCAGGGGGTAGCCGAGTTCGTCTGTTTCAGAAAAAAACCAGCAAGCAAATAGTCTGGTAGCACTTTATAGACTAACAAAACATGTAGATGGGATCATGAGCTTTCGTGGGCACAGACCACTTCTTCAGCTCACCGGAGTTATGAGTAGAGGATAAGGAAACTCGAAATAAATAGGAAATAAATAAGAGCAGGTTAGACAGACGTGTGTCAGGGATGATCTAGATGTTGCTTGGCCCTTCCATGACTGGACTTGATGACCTCTTGAGGGCCCTTCCACTCCTAGTATTCTACGATTCTATTAAACCCAGCCCCTTCCTGCTTGGTTTTCACTTACTTGCCACATATAGATAATGTAATGAGGTCTGCCCGATTTCAGGTACGTATAGAGGACGAGGTAACAGTCTCCTCCGTAGAACTGCCCGTATGTCTTGGGATCCACTGGTTGCATGTGCAGATCCTCAATCCTCCACACCTGCGCAGAAACCCCCTTGTCAACCAGGCGGGATTTGGCACGAGCATGTGTAAAATAGGCTCCCCTAGCCACTTCTTCAGGGGCTATGTGCGTCCGTGCTTTTCCTCAGCCTATCCTAGCAGTGTATTCTCAGTGGCTAGCAATGTGCAGCACCTTACCTGAGCTATGGTATAAACCTGCTGGCTCCTTTGTCTCATTTATCAAAGACCATAGGGCAACAAAATATTTCCTCCTCCCACAAAAGAATATTTGGGGGAGAGGGGTTTATAACAGCTCTTCTGAATAGTCACAGCTGTCCGGGAGGTCATTCTGACTGCAGCCATACTCCCTCGGGATGGGACCCCACCAGCTCTGCGCAGCTGCACGTTAAATGGCAGAGATGGAGAAGTACGCCAAGGACTATAACTCGCGCAAGAGAAAAATGATTTGGAAAGCTCACCTCAACCTTCCCGGAGGCATCATCTGCCATTCTCTGCTCGGCAGCTAGCTCTGGTCTGGCATGCAACTGAGAGACATCAAATTTCACTTGCTCGACCTTGGCTGTCCGTAGAAGCAGAACACAGGTGTTAACCAGCACGTATAAATGTACAGGGTAAGCGCTGTACACTCGCCCATCGCTACACAGTTATCGCATACGTGACAAGAATTCTGACTTGTAGCAATCTGAAAACCATCATATCATGGGTAAGTAGATGCAATAAATCCCGTATGTTGGCAGAGGTTAGACCGGATGACCCTTGCGATCCCTTCTAAGCCTGTGGCTCTATGATTCGAAGTAAAATGTCTATTGTTGACAGAGGTTAGGGGTTCGATTTGCAACCCAGAGGCACTAAGAAAGGGAGAGTGATGTCTGCTCTACAGCCTTAACAGCGAGCCAGTTGGCTTTTAGCTCAAGCTATAGAGGCACATGGCTTTAGCCCCTAAGGTCGCAAGTTCAGTCCCTCCTGCTGACGACCCACATCTGTTGGCTCTACATATTGTTGACCTCCCAGAAGGCCAATGAGAACAGAATTATGGGCCAATATTACTTGGTCACATTGTATATTCAAAAAGTACACCGTGATTGGCTCCAGTGAGTTCTATTCAAAGTATGACTCGCCTCACAGACAAATGATTCATGACTATTTTCTGCACCTGTAACTGTGCCTCCTTTCAAATGTTCTTTTGAAAAGGAAAAATGGTTGTGTTTCTGAAGGTGATGGCAGAGAGAGAGAGAGAGAGGGCAAGGAAGTCATTCAATACCACATATTCACTTCACGGCTCTGTCAACCCCCACATCGATGGTCCCTCAGGGTAACATTTTCCCTTTTGGAACAATACACTGCATTGTTCACCTAAGTAAAAGCCAGTGAGCCAAATTCTGCTCTCACTTATGCCAATGTAAATCCAGAATAAGCCCATTAACTTCAGTGGAGTCCTAGATTCATGCCAGTATAAATGAAAGTCGATTTTCATCCAAAATTGACTTGCTAGTTTCATGGTTACCGATTTCTGAAGACAATTTCTCTGTACCTTTTTGGGATTCGTTTCCTGATTGCCGCAATTTACCTTTGACATCGTGGACAGTTTTGCTGTTTTATTATGTAAGTATAAAATATCAGCAATTTTTATTATTGCTGAATTGTTAGTATTTTATCAAAGAAAATGGAAGATACACGGTTACAGCAGAATAAGGCTTTAAAGAAGGGGTGGGGAACCTTTTTTAGGTGAGGCCTGCTGACCCACAGAAAAATCAGTTGGGGTGGCCCGCAAGTGAGGCCCACTAGGGATGTGAACGACTAATCGACTATCCGATAAGCAAATGCTTATCAGACAGTCGACACGCTAGTTGATTAGTCGCTTCCCCCTGTTGCTGCCTCTATCGGAAGGAGGCAGCAAAGATGGCGGGGGGGGGTGGGGGGTAGTGGAGACGGTACTTCAAAGTGGCAGTGCTGCATGAAACCTGGGGCAAATTGCATCGACTATTCAATTAGCCCTTGAATCAAAATTGTACATACCTACTTCCCACATTCCTCTTGCACACCAGAGCCTAGGGGGCCCAGCCTAGTAGATTTTGTGTGCTTTAGCTCTGCATTGGGCTGGTGTGTGTGTGTGTGTGTGTGTATATAAGAGAGCGAGTGAGAGAGAAAGAGAAACAGGTGGAGTGTCATATATGTGGACTATACATATTAAAGTTTTCTTCCCCTGCTTTAAAGCTACTGAAGGTTGGAAACTATGGGTCTCTCTAGACTTCACCCTTTGTCGCCAGAGGGATGTAAATCAGACATACCGACATTGCAAATGAAGCGGGGATTTAAATCTCCTGCGCTTCAAAATGGCCGCCGCATTTTGCAGAGTCAGCAATTTGTCGGCAAAAAGCGTCTGTCAAGACGGGGATCGGGCGACAAAGAAAGCCTTTGTCGGCTGATCCTGTAAACCTCCTTTTATACCTATCCGTGTAGAACGGGATCTCCAACCTTTTTAAGCATGAGATCACTTTTTGAATTTAAATGAAATACAAAATCTACCTCAAACCCAGATACCCTTGCCCACCTCCTTTGTACCCCTTCTCCAAGGCCCCGTCCCTGCTCACTCTGACCTTCTTCCCTCCCCCATTTATCCTTCCTTTCACCAGGCTGGGGCAGAGGGTGGGGTGCTGGCTCTGGTCTTGGAGTAAGGGATTTGGAGTGTGAAAGGGACTCTGAGCTGAGCCTGGGGCAGGCAGTTGGGGTACCAGAGGGGGTTCTAGGTGCAGGTGCTGGGAGAGCATTTGGATACAGGGTGGTCAGGGCTAGGGTACAGGAGGGGGTTCATACCTTGGGTAGGATTTTGGGATGTGGGCTCCAGCTGGGCACTGCTTACCTCAGGGGGCTACTGGGTGGGGGTGCAGTGGGGCTAAGGCAGGCTCACCCCTGTCCTGGCCCTGAACCACTCCCAAAAGCAGCCAGGAAACACCATCCCAAGTCCTGTTGTGCCCCCTCTCTGCTCTGTGGCGATAGGATACAGAGTGGGAGAGGGGGCACCTTGACGTGAGCACCCCTTTTCTCCCTCCCCTGCCCAGAAAGCAGGAGGCTCCTGAGGGGACAGCTCCAAGGCAAAGGGCAGGAGATGCACAGCAGTGTGTGGAGGGGAAGCTGAAGTGCCAGTCCTCGATAGCCTCTTGGCCAAACCAGTCAGGATCACCTTTCGGGGTTCAAAGATCTACCGGTAGATCCAGATCTACTGGTTGGTGACCACTGGTGTAGAAGATACTCCTCAGTGTGACAAGGTGCTTGCCCTGCACTGGCCCTTTAAGGGCAAAACCCCATCTGGGAGGCAGTGCTAGCTGGTGAGGGCCCAGTTGGAGCTATATAATGGGGAGCTAACAGCTGCCCTGGAAGGAGAGCAGTGAGGGCCTGGCTGCTAGGGAAGCAGGAGACTTCCTGGAGCTAGAGCAGTGCTGGGGAGACAAGGCAGGGCTAAGGGAGCTCTGGCCAAGAAGACTCCCAGGCTGCAGTGCCTAAGGAGGAGAACAGCGCGCTTTGGGAAAGAGAGGACCCTGGGGTGTGAGCAGAGCAAACAACAATGACCCCCAGAAGGACACTGGTGTGGGCACTGCCGGAGGGCAGTGTCTGGAAGAAGACGCTGGGACAGAAGGAGCAACAGGGGGCGACACCCCCTAGGCAGAGGCATCCAGCAAGGCCCGAAGAGCTACTTCCCAAGACAGCCGGCTGGTGGTGCCGTGGCGGTGGGTCGGCCCTGTGATACTCAGGTATCATTTTTCATAAGGAAAGGAGACCGAACTCCAAATCAATGACAATAAAGCAAGCTAAGGAACAGCCACTGCTGGCTTGGAGGCTCCAAGGCGAGAACGGACCATTGCAATCATCTGGTCTGGCTTCCTCTGTAATGAAGTCCAGAGAAAATAATGTCCAGAGCATCTCCTTCACAGCCATCCAATCTTGATTTAAAAATGGTCAGTGATGGAGAAGCCACCATGACCCTCCCTAAATTATTCCTATGCTTAATTCTACCGCACTGTTAAAAATGTATGCCTCGTTTCCTGACTGCGCCAACTTCTAGTCATTGGATGGTGTTAGACCTTTCTCTGCGAGGTGGACAAACCCGTTCAGATATTTGTTCCCCATGGAGGTACTTATAACCTGTAATCAAGTCAGCCCTTAACCTTCTCTTTGTTAAGATAAATAGATTGAGCGCCAAGAGTTCTATAGCTATAAGGCATGTTGTCTAATCCTTTAATTATTCTTGTGATTCTTCTCTGAACCCTCTCCAATTTATCAGCATCCTTCTGGATGATCTCACCGATCTTGCTGGTCGTGTAGACTTTGCCAAGGCCTTGAGCTTCCTCCTTTTCTGTCCACCTCTTGAAGAGCTGTTTAAACATCGCTGATTCCGCGCCATCGTTCACCACTTCTACATTGGTGGTAGCAGGATACCCTTTGGCTTGGATGAAACCCTAAAGGGGGATTCCAGAAGGACTGTACTTAGCTCATACCCATCTCTGTACAAAAGTACAACTGGACTGAATATTACCTATGCCTACACCAAGCCTGCTGATCCAAATACCCCCAAACCCTTAAGAGGTTTGGAATGTGGATCCCTGAGTTGCATTTGAATGTTGTAACTGGCCCATATCATACATGGCTGCGCCAAAAATCCAGATCTAGACACCCACAAACTCTGAGATGGCCAATATCCAGGGCTGACCAGGGTAACAGAAGCCCATTTCTGTTCCCCTTCCTTCCCTGCTTCATAGGGCCCTACCAAGTTCAGTCCATTTTGCTCAATTTCACAGTCATAGCATTTTAAAAATCATAAATATCACGATTTCACCAATTTAACCCTGACATTTCAGGGTGTTGTAATTGTAGGGGTTCTTGCCAAGGTTCCCTCTAATTTTGTCCATCCATGTGCGGAATAAATTTGATGTGCACCAAGGCATGTGCAAATGTATACCACCAGTTGAAACAAAACACCCAGCATAAGCTCACAGCTTACAGGGAACAATGGCTCAAACCCAAAGAGGAGTTGTGTGAGGGGGGGAAGGAGGGGCAGGGCAGTCACAAAGTGATTATAGGGTGGGTTGTGGTGCTGTCACCCTTATTTATGCACTGCTGCTGGTAGCGGTGCTGCCTTCAGAGCTGGGAAGCCGGAGAGTGGTGGCTGCTGACCAGGAGCACAGCTCTGAAGGCAGTGAAGAATGAGGGTGGCAAAACCGCACCCCCTCCCTAATATAACCTTGTACCTGCCCCCCCCCCCCCCACCTCCCCAATTCCTTTTTTGGATTCAGAACTCCCAATTTGAGAAACATTGGTATCCCCCATGAAATCTGTATAATACAGAGTAAAAGCACACCAAAAAACAGATGTTATGGTCCGCGAGGCGTTTTTCACGGCCATGAATTTGCTAAGGTCCTATTGGTAGACATACAGAGCTCCTGGTGAGGCACCAAGAGCTGAGAGGAAGAATGATCCAGTGGTATGGGTGCCAGGTAGCTCAAAGTCAATTCTTTGCTCGGCTACTGATTTCCTGGGTGACCCTGGGTGAGTCACTTAGCCTCTGTGCCACAGTTCCACTTGCACTAACTTGTGTGAAATCTACATGCTGCCTTATTTTCGGCAGGATTTTATTTCAAGTTAGTAAACTCATGAACACACGTTCTGCTCCCAGCGAAAACAAAGCCCTAAATCCCCCAGGCTACTTTGAAAATGTCAACTAGACATTTAGGGCCCATTTCAAAACCCACTGAAGTCAATGGGAAAAAACTCTTCGTGACTGCAGTGGGCTTTGGACTGGGCTCTCAGGCACATAAATAGCGGTCTTGTACCCCCACAGCCCCTATTTATGTCATCCAAGCGTGACAATGCTGGTTTAGGTCCATCATTACTGTATTGTTTTCAGTTAATATGCAAGAAAGAAGGGCAGCTCCCGTCAATCAAAGCTCCATTGTAATTATCAGCCACCCTTAGTAGTTCTTAGCTACTCCCCCGGCAGATTGCTTTAAATACAGGCTCACCACTGCTCGGCTGAATGCTGCTTTCTTTTCACTGATGCTGGAGTCTTTTCCTCTCCACACGTAGATCTTAAAACCCCCTTGGTCTAAAATGTGACAGTCCTGAAGTGAAGCAGAGGAAAGAGACCGATCAAAAATCCTGCTCAAGCCAGGATTCTCGTCATGGGCGGTGGGTAATGTAGGCAAGGGAAGGCATTGCCTTTCCAAAACCGTCTGCACTGCCCAGCCACTAGGGAGGAGCTGGGGCCGTCCTGCGTAGCTCCCCAGAGGCGGAGGAAGGCTGGGGCCATCCCATGCACCATCCCTGGCCCTCAGTTGGGTTGTGGGGTGCTTGGTGGGGAGGGGGAGAGAGGTTCTTGAAGGTCTGGGGAAAGGGGTGTGGCTATGGGAGGAAGGGGCAGGACTTCCTCTTGCCTTCCCCAGCTGGGCCGTCACCCGCCACCCATGTTTCTCCCCTTATCCAAAATGTCACCTGCACTCATGCCTAGACTAGAAAATGCCAGTGCCCAGCGGCTAGCAGCGGAGTAAGCTAGTGTAGGCAGCTGCACTTTTACTGGAAAACAGACACAATACTTTTTGCTCTCAACCCTGCCTGCACTGAAGAATGCCTGTCACTTGTTCCACACCCAGCAGTGAGCTTTGCACACAGCAGCAACCAGTTCATCAGCTCCCGAAAGCATGGGGTGAGAGACTAGAAATGCAGGCCTGAACATTCAGCCATCTGCCCAGTGGCACGGAGCTGTAATGTGCCGGCTGGGGGCTAGGGAAGCACAAAGCCAGGTCTGACGTGTTCCAGTGCAGGTCTGGAGAGACTTCACTGAAGCCCGAGAAATGCACTGGTGTGAAAGCAGGGCAACAGCAGAACCAGGCAGTGCCAGATCAGAAATAGGTCATGTGACTCTGCCATAGCTCCCTAACCGTCTAATTACATCCAGGTTGCTCAGTGTTTTGAGCATTGGCTTGCTCAACCCAGGGTTGTGAGTTCAATGCTTGAGGGGGTCATTTAGGGATCTGGGGCAAATCTGTCAGGGATGGTGATGGTATTTATTCCTGGCCTGAGGGCAGGGGACTGGACTCAATGACCTTTCAAGGTCCCTTCCAGCTCTATGAGGGTATGTCTACCCTGCCACCGTAGTTCCATGAGGAGTAATGGTAGTTCAAATTAGAGAGCCTAATTCAAACTACCTACTCTGTGCCGCGTGTAGCCGCGGGCACGGAGTCTGCACTAAGGGGGATTTAAAAATGGCGGCGCCTGGCGGCTGGCAAGATGCAAATGAAGCCCAGGATATTTAAATCCTGGGCTTCATTTGCAACTTCGAATGCCTACATTAGCCATCCCAGTTCGAACTAGGGGGCTAGTGTAGACATACCCTGAGATAGATATAGATAGGTATATCCTGGCACCCTACCAGGTGATGGAGACCTGAACTTGGGGTTTAAAAGGCCAGCGAAACAAGCCAGCAGAATGTTTTCCTTGGTGTTTAATTTGTGTGAGGGGGTTGCGTGAGGGATTGCCAAGGGCTGAGCCTCAGCCCTGCGATCCTGTAGCTCTGTCTCGGCCTCAGCCTCCCCTGAGCTGGCTGCTGCTGCATTAGTTGTGAAAATAAAAAACAAATGATTGAGCCCGAGCATCTAATTGGTTGAGTCCTGGCCTCTCTACTCTTGCCAGTGAAGCACCACTTATTTCTAATCAGAGGTGACATACACAGATCCACCCTCAATAACACTTTAATCATTTACTGCTAGAAATGGACAGAGGGAGAGGAGAACCCTGGTTCATCAGAGGGGTTGGTGGCAGCTGACAGATATTCATTTCCCTCTTGGTAACCCTCCATCTTATGGGCTGGTTTCTGCTTGAAGAAATGAGTGGGGACATATTTTAGCCAAGTCCGCCCTTCTGAACATGAACACGAGCTATTAACCCCTCTCTGTGCCTTGAGACACCTGACTGTTCCTTTAGAGCAGGGCTACTCAACACACAGCCCGCAGGTGGGAGCCACCACAAAAAAGGAGTCAATATAATGGTCTTCTGTTGATATGTGTATTAGTAGTTAAATTCCTGGAGTGTCATTGCTCATTAAAAGTGCTGTCAGATGGGTGGAAATCAGATAAATATTGCATTTCTTTAATATCAGCAGAACTGACTTAAATGGGGCCTGTGTGTTATGTAGTCTTGCCTTAATCTTTATATTCATGCCCCTCAGTGTGAAAGAAGCTATTTGCGTATATTTGCATGTATATATTTGCATATATTTGCATGTATCTGTAACCACACTTAAGTTGCGGCCCCTGGCATGTCCTGAGAGTATCATTGTGGCCTCCGGGGCTTCCAAAGTTGAGTAGTCCTGATTTAGAGTGACTGCCAGGGTCACGTCTCCTTGGGCTCCGAGACTGGGTAGGTCATCTTCTCTCACAGAGGCTTTAATCCGCCTTTCCCATCCACCACCAAGCAGAGAACTCAGACTACCAGGGGATGCCTTTTAAAAGGCACCTCATGGTTTGAGATACAGAAGTTCTCCTAGGTCCAGACCCTCAACAGTATTTAGGTACCTAACTCCCAAGTGTTTCAATAGAGGTTAGCTGCCTTAAGTAACTTCGGAAAGAAGCTTGAGGCTCAGACCCTCAAAAACCGATGTCACTATGCAGGTGCTATGCTCTATAAGAGCTCATAGCCTTATAGAATCATAGAATATTAGGACTGGAAGGGACCTCGAGAGATCATCGAGTCCAGTCCCCTGCCCCCATAGCAGGAACAAATGCTGTCTAGACCAGGCATGTCCAAAGTCCGGCCCGCGGGCCAATTGCGGCCCGTGTTCTGGTTTAATACGGCCCCACAGGTAATTTGGCAATATCTATCTTTTATGGCCCCCAACGAATCCATATGTATTGAGATGAATACATTGTAAAATCTCAGTTAATGTCAGTTGGTCTAAATCATTTATAAATATATTTGGACACAACATGTATACTTGGTGTTATGTTCCTGTTCATATTTTTTTAACTTAAAAGTTGACAGACAACCTTTATTACCAATAATATGTAATGTACTTTACAATATTCCTGACATATTTCAGCTTCCTGGATTTTTTTTTCCATCTGGCCTTCAGATATGAAAGGCAGAGTGATTTAACACCTGTTTAGATTTGTCATCCATGTGACGAAATGAAAAGTATGCCGTTTGCAATAAACTTTGCATAAAATAGTTAATTTGCATTTAATTTTAATGGTTCAAAGAATGTCAGGCAAAATGGTCGGCCCTCACGCATGTTCACTTCATCAAATCTGGCCCTCTTTGAAAAAAGTTTGGATACCCCTGGTCTAGACCATCCCTGATAGAGATTTATCTAACCTATTCTTCAATATCTCCACAGATGGAGATTCCACAACCTCCCTGGGCAATTTATTCCAGTGTTTAACTATCCTGACAGTTAGGAACTTTTTCCTAATGTCCAACCTAAACCTCCCTTGCTGCAGTTTAAGCCCATTGCTTCTTGTTCTATCCTCAGAGGCCAAGATGAACAAGTTTTCTCCCTCCTCCTTATGACACCCTTTTAGATAACTGAAAACGGCTATCATGTCCCCCCTCAATCTTCTCTTTTCTAAACTCAACAAACCCAATTCTTTCAGTCTTCCTTCATAGGTCATGTTCTCTAGACCTTTCATCATTCTTGTTGCTCTTCTCTGGACCCTCTCCGATTTCTCCACATCTTTCTTGAAATGTGGTGCCCAGAACTGGACACAATACTCTAACTTACCATCGCACCCTAGTTCCCTGCACCTTACCTCATGCTGGAGGAGATCTTGTGTGAGGGGCCGGGTGGCAATCTCTTGCACCACCAAGTCGTCGTCCTTTTCATAGACACTAGAGGAGGCAAGAGGCAGAGAGAGAGATTCACAGAGGGCTAGGAGAGAGGGACTCTCTTCTTCAGGCGGACACATATTCCCAGGCCTTGGGTTGGGAGGCCTAGCCCAGACTTACTGGTAGAGCCGGACGTTTGCTTTCTGCAGCTCATCGGCTTTCTCATCGGGCGTGGCGGCCCGGAGCTCCCCACGCCTCTCCCCGAGCACCGTTTTCATGATCTGCATGAGATCCGGCGAGTCCTTCTCATTGTCAATGATGCCGATCTGGGCACGGCCGCCTCTCTCGCCATCCCTGATGCTACGCGCCAGAGCCAGTCCCTGCGAGAGATGGGCACTGATTTAGCCAATGAAAAGACTCCCATTGCCCTCTGGGTCAGGCCTGACTTTCTGTGCTCGAGCATCACATTTCATTCCAATGCATTGTCTTGGTTGATGTAGTTCAGCTGGGCAACCTGGCCTAGAGAGGGAAATGGGGCCAGGAGGCAACTCAACTACAACTCTCATAATGCACCAGGGCAGCACTGCCAAATTGAAGTTTTTCAGTTTTTAACCAAATCTTTACATTCTCCATAAAAAGCCTTATTTGTGAAAACAGCTGTTCAGCTGAAAACCCAATTTCCCATGGAAAATCAGTTTAGACGAAAACATTTCAAGCAGCCTTGGAACGCCAGTGTCGAAGGAGAGATGGACATCATCTCTCACTGCAAATCCTCCTCTGGCTGCCACCTTTCCCATGCCTGGAAATCTGACCTGCAGCTGCTCTGCCCCATTGCTCCTGGGAGAACCTACCCCCTCTCCACCTCTGCTGAAAGAGTCAGATGCTCGCCTTACCCTGACCATGCTACTACTTTCTCCATGGTGTCCCCAAGGCCCACCTCTCCAGGTGCCACCCTATGCAGAAGGATTCCGCCTGCCTTTTCATCCCTTGAAAGGTGTACCAGGAATTCACCTACCACCTGAGACACTCCCCTATGCCCCAGAACCTGGCTCATAATCGCTTTTCTGGTATTTGATGGTTTTCCATGGCATTGCCTCTGACAACCACACAGAAGCAGTGCATGATACAGTGGGATAGAACACTGGAGAGAACTCACGGGGGACTAGGGTTCTATTCCTAACGCTGCCGTGCTCCTGGAGTCCAAGACACTTCACTGCACTGTGCCTCAGATTTCCCCATCTGTAAAATGGGGATAATGGTTCCTTAGTTAAACAGTTTGGCTGTGTCTAGACTGGCAAGTTTTTTCCGCAAAAGCAGCTGCTTTTGTGGAAAAACTTGCCAGCTGTCTACACTGGCCGCTTGAATTTCCGCAAGAACACTGATTTCCTACTGTCTGAAATCAGTGCTTCTTGCGGAAATGCTATGCTGCTCCCGTTCGGGCAAAAGTCCTTTTGCGCAAAGCTTTTGCGCAAAAGGGCCAGTGTAGACAGCTGAGATTTGTTTTGCGCAAAAAAGCCCCGATCGCGAAAATGGCAATCGGGGCTTTTTTGCGGAAAAGCGCGTCTAGATTGGCCATGGACGCTTTTCCGCAAAAAGTGCTTTTGCGGAAAAGCATCCATGCCAATCTAAACGCGCTTTTCTGCAAATGCTTTTAATGGAAAACTTTTCCGTTAAAAGCATTTGCGGAAAATCATGCCAGTCTAGATGTAGCCTTTGAGAACGGTGAAGGAAAGCTGCTACTTCAGAGCTTGGTATTCTTATTTCTATTACTGTTACCAGTCACTTTGGACTATCCATGCGATCTTTCTTTAAAAATAAATTTCCCCACCCCCTGAGATATCTAGTGCAGATAAAGCTCTTGACTTGTAAGCACCATGTCACATAGACCTAAGTGATGCATACAGAGGCTAAGAGATTTGCCCAAGACCATCCAGAGAATCCATGGCAGAGCCAGGAATTGAACCCACATCTCCTGAACTACTGTCTCATGCCAAAACTGCAACACACATTCTTCCTCTTCTGTAGAAGCCATTAATGGGAAAACAGGCCTTTGCTAGGGTTTGAGCTCCTCACCAGTGTGTCATTAGTATTGTGCAGGGGGATTCTATTTTGCACTCATCATTCATTGCTCCTATTTCTCTTCATTGTGCAGGCTTTAAAAATGCCCCCCAGAAATCCAACGGTGTTTCCCCACACTGACCCTGGATTTCTCTGCCACGTTGCAGTCGGGACCGTTCCACTGGATCAGCACTTTCCCCAGGTCCAGCAGGAACGCGTCCCCCTTATTGAAGCTGTCCCACGAAAGCTCCACCTGTCATGAGATAACGGGACAGCGTGGGTTACTGGGGAACGAGGAGCATCACCAGCCGGAGGGGTGGGAATGACGTTCGGATATTAACAACGGGCTTGTTTTTCTCTGGAAATTCTGTAGCTATCTGGAATACAACTGAGGATTTGCCATTTATTTTCCTGAACTGCTAGGAACTCTGGGCATTTTTTCAGATTTGGAGACAAGTGTGTGAGCAGGCCCATGTGCACACTCGTGTGCGGTTTGCCTTGTTCTGGTGGTTTTCTGGTACCAGCAATCACCTCTGTGCAGGTCACTGCATGGGAACAAACAAAGAGCCAGGCGTACGGGCTAAAGTCTTCCCTCTCTCTGCAGGATACTGAAGGCTACAGCAAGGTACGGACCACTGTTTAGTCTGGAAGGCGGGGATTCACAAACTTGGATGAAAGGTCAGTTGTGTAGAGCTGATTGGAAAATGGTTACCTCCCCCCTCCCACACCCATGGCAAAGTTTCAGGCAGGGGCGGATGAGAGTTTTGCGGGGCCCAGGGCAGCACGATTTCGTGGGGCCCCCCCCCTCGAAGAAAAAATAGAAAAAAGGCTTCAAATGCGCAAATTGAAGGCTATTTTCATATTAAATGCGAATTGGATAAATTTGATAGAAACTTAATTTAGTTGGATAATTTTTATTTTAATTATATTGTAAGTCATTCTTAAACAAAACTCTGCATTAATTAAAAATTTTCATTTGTATTTAAGTCTCCTCCCCCTTCTGCCTCTCTCTCTTCTCCTCTCCCTCCTGCGTCACTCTCTCTTTCTCTTCTCCTTAGTCTTCCCCCTCCTGCCTCTCACTCATGGAGCCCAAACGGCCGTTTGCACCGCTTGCTCCTGCGCAGCTGTCCAGCTGAGCGGCGCAGAACTCAGCCTAGCACCACGGCAGGAGGCGAAGGAGGCGGGGCAGTGATGCACACGGCCAAGGGGCGGGACCTGGAGCCTCTGTCACGGCCTTTGCCTTCCACCGTGGTGCTCTGCTGAGTTCTGCACCGCTCAGCCAGGCCGCCACGCAGGAGCAAGTGGTGCAAGCAGCTGTTTGGGCCCCGCATGGCGGCTCAGCACGGGGCCTGGGGCAGCCGCCCCGCTCATCCTGCCCTATATCTGCCGCTGGTTTCAGGCCAAACAGAAAGAAAAGTCCCTGCCCCAGGGAGCTCCCCGTGGTGATAAGTAACAATGCTGGTGCCTGAAACAGAGTCTTTATACAGGCCTGCTGACGAAGGTCGGGGGAGGGCGAAGGGGACAGTTGCTTTGGGGTCCAGTGATTCTAAAGGGCAGCAGAGGTGGTGCCTAGAATCCTGGGCCCTTTAAATCGCCATTGGAAGGCAGCTCTAAGGGCTGGTGGGGGTGTATGCTCTGGGTCGGTGCTGAGAGCTGGCTGTCCCCAACCCTGCCCTTTTTGCGTGAGGCCCCGCCCCTTCCAGGGGCACAGCAGCCCCCCACCTTGCTCGGGGCCCAGGCTGGCTGTTGGCTCCCCTGCCTTTATATTAGTGCTGCAGTCCCAGCTGCCTCTGCATCACAGAGCATGGGTTCCTGTAGCGTCCCTCCCTCAGACTCCCTGTCTGGGAGGCTCAACCATCTAAGGGTGCAGTGCCCACTACCACATGTAGAAGCCAAGGTCTCGACCCTGCATAAAAGCAGGGCCAGGAGCCGGGTGTGCGCTGTGCGAGTTGGCACTGACTGTGCCAAGGAGACTCCTAGCGCAGCGTGAGGGTAAGTACACACGTGCAAGTCTCTGCAGGATCGGGGCCTAACATTAGCCTGCCTGGGGGAGCGAAGGGAGGGCCCGGGTTACAGCAACGCAGCGGTGTCTCAGCTGAGTCATGCGCCTGTCTTGACAATCCAACGTGGTCTTAAAACACAGGAACGTTCTTGAATAGTATGTTCATCGTTACAGAATGATACGTGAGATATTTGCGTGTGATGCTGATGATCACAACAGCCTGCAGCAGGCCTCAGGGAACTGCCCATAAAACACGGAACCATTTTCTCCTCCAGCTTCAGATCACAAGACAGCTACAAAATGGAGTTCGTAGTTGGTGCCGCTTTAATGGTGGAAGAAATCCAGGACTTCAGCTAGAACAGGGGTGGGCAATAAGTGGCCCATGGGCCAGACATGGTTCACCAGAGTTAGCTCCTGGCAGGCTGACAGACATTTTATTTACTTGCATGTGGTGTCCGCAGGAACGGCTGCTTGCAGCTCCCATTGGCTGCATATCACCATTCCGAGCCAATAGGAGAAGTGGGAAGCAGCGCAGACAGGGACACTGCTCCCATTGGCTGGGAACAGCGATCCTTGGCCAATAGGAGTTGCAAGTGGCCCTATCTGTGGATGCGCAGGTAAATAGAGAGTCCAGCAGCCCCTGGTGAACTGTGTCTGGACCACGGACTGCTTATGCCCACCCCTTAGCTGGAAGAATTGAGTCTGGTTCTGTTCCCACTTATACCAAGGTAACTCCATTGTCTTCAGCATTGAATTACTCCTGATTTACAATGGTGTAAACAAGATGAGAACCAGGCTCTGTGTTAGCAACCATTGCTCAGAGGGCTGGATTTGGATCTCACACTGGTGTAAGGCTCAAGTCCACTGAAATCTGTGGGCCAGATAGTTCGCTTGTTGCAAACTGAGGCAGCACTGATGGCTTCATTGGAATCAGGGTGATTTACACCAGCTGAGGATTTGATCCTGTTGAGTTATATGGGTATATATAACAGTAGTAAGATCTGAATCTGACCTAGTTTTTCTCCCACTGGAAATCTGCATGGCATGCTGGTCCATTAACGGTCAGCACTGCTCAGAGGACGTTCACCATGAGCCACCAATAGGAATAAAGCACTTCTGTCCTTACCTCTGTGGCGGACACATGTTTCTTCCCTTTGACATGAAGGAGCCGTTTGATGTTATACATGTTGGTCTCCACATGCCTGAATCCTGAAGCTACTCCTCCCTTCTTGTAGCTGTTGTGTAACAGGGAATTGAGGGTTAAAGTTAGAGTGGATACGAAAATTAGGGTTCTCCCCCCCCCCAGGAAAATGTCAAGCTTTTGACAAAAAAAAAAAAAAATCCAAAATATTCAGAAGTTTTATTTGGAAATCCTGACACAATGCCTAAGGGGAATTAGGGAGCATGAGATGCACAAACTACATTCTCCTCTACAGGCCAGGTTCTCTGGTCAGACTACATCTCGCATGATGCACCACAATCTTTCCTCTTGTATCATAGAAGTCATGTAACTGGGGTGCATCATGGGATGTGGAGTCATTAGGTGAACCTAGCCCATAGTGGAGAAGGGGATTGTGACTACTTGAAGGTACATCAGAGGGATCACTGTGTTAGTCTGTACCTGCAAAAACAATGAGGATTTACTTCAGTTTTCATGGGCAAAAACCCACTTTGTCAGATGCATCTTTAAGGTACCACAGGACTCCTCATTATTTTTACTTGAAATCTCTTTCCCATGAGGCACTGAGAAGCATTTCAGACCTGAAATATTTCAGTTTCCAGGTGCTCTGTTTTTGATGAAAAAGCAAAATTTTCTACAGACACTTTTGGCAAATGGAAATTATGTGTTAAGCTAATTTCCCATTCAAAAACAGTTTTGAAGGAAAAAATTTGACACTCCTAATTAAAACCACTTTCTGTTTGGGTTCATGGCATAAGCTATTTGATCTTGTGCTGTGGGACATGTGCATCACAATGTTTGACTGTAGGCCCTACTATGAGGTAAGCACTGCTGAAAGCCAACGGCATATAGGATACTAGGATCCCCTGAGGCCTCAGAAGAATGTCATGTAAGGTTCCTAATAAAGCCTTGTGTCACAGTGGTCATCATAGGGAGAGGGATAGCTTGGTGGTTTGCCCATTAGCCTGCTAAACCCAGGGTTATGAGTTCAATCCTTGCAGAGGCCATTTAGGGATTTGAGGCAAAAATTTGTCCTGTGAAGGCAGAAGACTAGACTCAATGACTTTCAAGGTCCTCAAGTTCTAGGAGATAGGCAATTGCCATTAATTTAAATCATAGCCATTGCAAGGAGTACATACAGATGTTGTATAAAGAGTTATGTATATAGATTGAGATCTATGTTGTCTGTGACAAAGGGATATCCATCAGAAAGTGAATAATGAGTTTTCTTTCAGGCAAGCAATAATTTGCTGTCTGTTTACATGTCAATTAAATATTATACCGGGCACATCTATTTACTGTCTGAGCAAAATTCAAATCAATAGATTATGGAGGTTGCAGGAAAAACAAACCAGCTATTCAGGAGTACAATGAACGTACAGAGCTGGGGATGAGAGAGCCCTTCCGCCAAAGTAGTTAAAAATGCCAACATCTAGACATCTCCTAGTTGATGTCTTGTGAGTTAAGTTTAGACTCTGGAAAGTGTGTGATGATTTTTTAATGCAACCTTTTGTTTCCAATAGTCTGACCTTCTCCCACTTGACTTTACTTTTCTAGATAGCTGTCTGTGAAGTAAAGGGGCGATGCTGAGTTGAATCGAGGAAGCTGGGTGTACTATTCCTTTGGGAGTAGCAAATCCGAGACTTCTATGAATGCTCCCTGAAACAGGGACTGAGCGCTCCAGAGGGATGCTCAGAAGTTAGTGGGTGCCTATCACTGACCTGTTCTGTAGGGGTTGGTGGAAGTGCTCATGTTGCCAGAAAGTAGGGGATTCAGGTTGTTGATTCACAACAACTGCTGGATAGGACCGGACAATAGAAGATCATTCACTTGATAATTGCCCTGTTCTGTTCATTCCCTCAGAAGCACCTGGCATTGGCCACTGTCAGAAGACAGGAAACTGGGCTAGATGGACCATTGGCTTGACTCAATATAGCTGTTTTGATGTTGTTGTTGATGACTGTTTCTTGCTGCTTCTGAGGGATGAGCAACGTGCCTTGGTTGCCACATGACCAAGATTCATCACCGACTTTAGACGGCTGGCTGGATTGTTAACTTCCCCCGCCTGGAGGTATGACGTGAACACGGAGCCATGATCCCTGCTTCTTGCTAAGGGCAGGTGCTAGTGAGGTGCTTCTCGACACTAGGGTTCTCTTGCCCCACAACTTTGTCACAAGGTATAATGCCGTTAGTTCCTTCTGACACAACTTTACGATGAAGACACAGGCGCATCCCAAAATGACAACGAAACCAGAAAATTCCTGAGTTGTTTTCCTGGCTTGAGGGATGCATCTGCAAAGCCTGGGATGGGTGGCACCCCATCATGATCATCATGTGTTTTACACAACCTAACACCTCACATGCGTGGATCAGGCCTCCCACTAAGGCCTGATCCAAGTGTTGGGATGAAAAGATGCAGTTTTGGAGTTTGGGGAAGAAAATGTGCATCTCTGTTTTGGAAGAAAAGATGGAGTTTTGGAGTTGTGTAATAGTGTAATATCTCCAGCCCATTGTTCCTAGTGCTGAGATGGGGAGTCAGTGCATCTGGGGATGGAGGAGGCTGGCCCAAGCCTCCCCAGCCAGGAGCACAGAGAGGGTGGACCAGAGAGGGAGGAGACCGTGTCGCTCCTGCCTCCCAGGCCAGGAGCATGGAGAGGGCAGGTGCTGGGGACAGCAACACTCCACCCCAAGAACAACTACCGCAGGCATTCTGGGGGCGGAGCGTGGGTGGGGCCAGGCTGGAAGTTTGGGAAGGCAAAGCCTTCACCCGCCTAAGCCACCAGACGCCCATGGCTGAGATTGTTTTACAAAGGTCCTAACGACATGGCCTTGTTACCCAAGATGAGATTCAGGCCCACTAGCCTTTAATGAAGAGGAGATTTTGGTCCATGCAATGTAAAATAAACATTGAAAGGATTTAGTAGAGATGGGCAAAATGTTTCCCCATTTCAACATTTCAAAATTGGGGATTAAAAATCGAGGGAGGAGTTTATAAAAATTTCTCCTGATTTTGACCAACTATGAGGCTAGTCAAAAATGTCCAGATTTTAAAATTGTGATTTTTTTTTCAATTTTTCCAAAAATAGCAATTTTTTTAACTAACGTTTGTGACCAGACCTACAGCCTAGCCAGAGTGCTTGGAGCAGCCTGGCAGTTTCTATTTATTTGCAGCAGATTTGGCATCACTCACATAATGCCATTTTTGAAGTAGCTTTTGAAGGCCTCGGACTCGTGTCCCTCCACCTCTCGATGTTGCACTGGGCTCCCCCCGAGCATGTCATCCATCTGGGTGACGTAGAAGGCCGCAGCGCCCTGCTCATCCTGAGAGGAGTCCTTCCCTATCCAATAGTGCAAGTCCGTCATGAAGCCATTTGCGGTTTTCTTGTTCTGGGAAACACAAAAGCGGTAGTGAGAGGTCAGTGGAACCATGTGTATCTGCAATCCAGGAAGGAGGACAACTATGTGTGATTGGCATCTTGTGACTAATATCTCTGACAAGGGAGACCTGGTATATAAATTAGAACCAGATCACGGAGCCTTTGTGCAGGCAAAATCACCCATGCAGTCAATGAGGATCCCCGAGCATCGAAAACAAGATCTACCCTTAATATTCTCCATGCAAAAACCTGCCCGAGGTCAAGCTTTCCTACTAGGGCTCAGCCCTACCACACAGAAGCTCTTGGGAATTTTGCCAGTGACTTCAACAGAAGTAGGATTTGAGCTGTAAAGGACTTTGGGAGGTCCTGATTCAGGAAAACATTTCATGAAACTTAGGCACATACTTAAAACTTTAGCATGTGTTCAGTTGTTATGTGTGTATGGCCCCATTACTGTAGTGATTAAGTACCTCACAATCTTCATTTGTTCTCAACACTCTTGCTAGGTAGGGAGATGTTGTTATCCCCAGTTCATGGAGGCACAGGTGAGGTGACCTGCGCGCGCGCACGCACACACACACGCACACACACGAAGCCTGTGGCAGAACAAGGCCTCAATCCCATGCACCCCACTAGCACTAACCACTCGGGTGGCCCATGAGACTAGGCAGTTGCCTAGGGTGCCGCCGGCCCGGGCGCCCGATGATGACATCATGGGCTGGCCTCAGGCCGCTCCTGTAACCACTAGGCCCCTCTTTTCCCTCCCTAGCCTAGGTCAGGGTCTGTGTGTGGAAGCTTGCAAGCTGCTCTTACTCTCGTGCTAGATGAGTGTTCTATTGGTTATTAAATGCGTGTTCCTAGCTACTTTCAGATCCTTGGCTCAAATGCTATTATGCATGTGCATTAAGATACATTCATAAATTAGATGATCACACACTGTGTTTCCCCACAGGATCCCTGGCTCATCAAGTACAAGGTGGCAGAATGAGATGTCAGTAAATCTGGCATTTCCTAATTTTCTGAGTCGATGATTTTGCAGCCGTATGATACACCCACAATAAATACAGAGTGACTACCGGTGGTGTGTGAAACCCTACCGACTCTCAAACACAGGCCAAGCTCCAGCTAGGAGCAAATATATGTGTGTTTGAGATTCTTAAACTTCCATTATGATTCCTATTGTGTAACAAAGCCAAATAGCCTAAAGAGAAAAACCAAACCCTCTGGAAGCAGGTGTTTTGTGAATGGTGCCGGGCATTTTTCATTACCCACAATGATAAACTCCAACATCCACTGCGGAGGAAAATGAAGAGAGACTCATTTTATAGCATGGGTTGAGGCTAAGTTCTGTGTATCTGTTTTGTTCTGAGAAAAGTGCTTAGATAACATTGGTGAACACTGGTTTAAGAGCCCAAATAGAGAGCAACTTGATTTCTTTAGATCTAGTTGCTCAATCGGCAGTGAAATCACTCCATTTAATGTACAACCTTATATGCAGCTCAGAGCTTTATTGCTATAGTCTGGCACCCTCTGGTCCAGCAGCACTTGTGGGCTGGCATGATTTTCGTTAGCCTGATGTCCACTTATCATGGGTGTGGACAAGTTTCCCGCAGTCCCATAAAATTTGTTTACAGCCACCAGTCCTGGCTCTCAGTGTTCTGGGCTGTTACTTAGCTCTAATTTACCCCTATCTGTCTTCTAAGAGTCCAGTAAGCAGTGGAAGTGCTGGTAATGTTGCTAGATAATACTGACCTCCCATGGTTTGGCAAATTCTCTGGTTCGGCACTGGTCAGATCCCAAGGGTGCTGGACTAGAGAGGTTCAACCTGTACTAGACATCACATGACTTGCCCTGGACCACACAGCTTTGTCCCCATGAAGAACAGGAAAATTTTTCAGAGGGGTAGCCATGTTAGTCTTTAACTGAAAAAACTTAAACAACAAATAGCTCTGCAGCACCTTAGAAACTAACAAAAAAAATAGATGGTATCATAAGCTTTCGTGGGCACAACCCACTTCTTCAGATGAATGGAGTAAGGGATCCAGGCTACAAATAAATAGCAGAGAGAGAGGGGATGGGGAGGGAAAGGAGAAAAAATGGGGAAAAAAATTGTCAGTGTCCATGCTACAGTGTTTAGCTTTTTATAGAATCCTAGGGCTTGAAGAGATCTCAAGAGGTCATCGAGTCCAGCCCCCTGCCCAAAGCAGGACCAACCCCAACTAAATCATCCCAGCCAGAACTTTGTCAAGCTGAGACTTAAAAACCTCTAGGGATGGAGATTCCACCACCTCCCTAGGTAACCCATTCCAGTGCTTCACCACCCTCCTAGTAAAATAGTTTTTCCTAATATCCAACCTCCTTACATGAAGGAACATACACATGCCACCTGTCATCCCCTACAGACAGGGGCGGCCTGAGGTGGGCTGCTGCAGCTGGCGCCCCAGGCAGAATGCGGGATCGGCGCCCCTGCCTGCACAGCCGTCAATGGCCATGACATAATCATCGGGCATCTGGGCACCCCGTGATGTCATCTATGGGCGCCCTGGGCCGGTGGCACCCTAGGCGACCGCCGAGTCTGCCTATGCTCACGGGCCACCCCGTCCAACCTAGACCTCCCCCACTGTAACTTGAGCCCATTGCTCCTTGTTCTGCCATCTGCCACTACTGAGAAAAGCCCCTCTCCATCCTCTTTGGAACCCCCCTTCAGGAAGTTAGTTGAAGGCTGCTCTCAAATCCCCCCTCACTCATCTCTTCATTCTCTTCTCTATGTCATTAGGGTGCGGAATGCAGCAGCCCATCCAGGTCAGGTCTTTGTTCAAACCTTGGTTTCATTTACAAGTCTGACACCTGTACTCAAGGTTTGAACAAGGGGCTGTCTAAGTGCAGGGCAGACATTTGGATTGGGAGGCAGGAGGGTCGTAGAGTTGAGGCTGCAGCCCAAATGTCTAGACTGTAATTAAACAGCCCCTTCAGCCCAAGTTGCCTGGCATGGACCAGCCGCATGTCTCGCTGCAGGGTAGATAAACTCCTCAATACAGCCCCACCTTTCCTCTCTAGCAGGGAATCTCTCAGTTCTGTCGTTATTCCTCAGGCAAGATTTCCATGGACATCAATGGGAGCTGCGTGCTTTCATGGCAGAGCACACACAGCTGTGCCGGAGTTTCCGCCAACCCTGCATCAGCTTGAGAAATATGACTAGCTGCAAGGCACAGCCTTCCCTTTTGTTAAAGGAGATCCCATGGGTGCCACCCTATGAGTCACGGAGCCGCAAGGCAGTAGTCAGGCAAGGCCTGACCTGGAAAATTAAGCATGTCCCAGCACGAAGAAGCTGAGTCTTCTAACGCTGGGATGACAAACACCCCTCCACCAAATAAACCCTGGCTTAGTCCATGTGCTGCTGCATCAGCCTGATGAGCGGGACGGAGAGACCCATCGGAGTCCACTGGAGCCCTGTGGAAAACCAACGGAATAATTCTGCTTCCCCTCCCTAAGGAAGGTAGGGCAGGATTTGGGGTAACACAGCTCTGCCTGAGCTTCCATATGTAACGCACTATGGGCAGGACTTGGCAGAGATGGGGCTGCCTATGGCCCACACAGACTACGCGGATCTACCCAATTCGCTGCCGGGGCTATGGAGGAAGGGGAGATTGGAAACCCCTTTAAGCCAGGGGCTGCGACAACACGCCCTGCACCATGGTTTCCGTGGAACCTGGAGTGATCTGTGCAAATGAAGAAGAGTTGGGGGAGGGATAAAGAAGCCCTGATCCGGCGCATTGTCCTGGACTATCACCCGGAACTTCTGCTGTTGCAAGTCAGGTGCTCAGGCTAGCTTCTCAGAAGGGCCTCAGCCTTCAGACCGCTCGGGTCAAGTTTCAAGTGAGCTCGGCTCAAATTCTGAGTGAACTCACGAGGGCTCCTGATTCCTCTTCTGGTTTTCTTACCCCTGAACAATACTGTGATTGCAGCACAGGACGGGAGACAGGAAACCTTCCTTCTAATCTATTCCCAGCTCTGCTTTGCATGGTGTCTCTCTGTCTCTGTGTGAGACCCTGGGCAACTCACTCATGCCGACATTTGCAAAACCCAACAGTAATATTGGCTTCCAGAATTTCTAGGAACTCAACTTGAGACACCTTAGAGGGGCCTGATTCTCACAAAAGGGTGGATCCCTCAACCCCAGAAAACGAGGTCCTTTTAAAAAGTATAGCCAAAACCAGGCTACCTTGGCACACTCCAAATGCAGCCGTCATTTTTCAAATTACAGATCTTCACCTTGGTGATCCCTGGAAGGAGCACACAGCAGAAGCAAGAGCCTGAGAGTTATTTCAAGAGGCCATAGCAAAGCTGATTTTTTTTCCATGCATCCCCCCACCTGTCCCCCCCCTTCCCTCTTGCTGCCCCTCTGGCCTCTTTCAGAGGGAATATGCAACAGAGTTGCTTCAGGCTGCAGTAGGGATGGTGAGTAAATTACGTTTTCCCATGGTGCTGCTGGAACCGGGCACACGGTAGTCACTTGGGTGGTTAATGAAACAGTGTAGAGCCAGACATACTGACCTTTGCGGAACTTACTTACATATAGTATGATGTAACAGTCTCCTTCAAAAAAGCCCCCATACGCCTTTTCGGGAACAGGAACCATTTTCATTTTCTGCAAGAAATCGGAAAGGGCGACCATCAGCACAACATGCATGGACAAGATACTGCAGGGAGTTAGCAGGGTGACAAATGGCGTATCCCCTTCTCCTTGGGATATGGCCCTAAGCTGCGCTCAAGAGAGGGAAACAGCAAAGATGCAAAATCCAGCCCTGCTGAAATCAATGGGAGCCAGGATTTCACACTAAGCACCCTAGAGTCTTGCTCCAAGAGCCATTGCTGCCTTGTCTTTCTGCTGCACGGTCTATGTCACTGGGTTCACCTTTGTAACGGATTTGAAGCTTAGTATAGGAGCTTCTATCCACTGAGCTAAAAGCCAGCTGGAGCTCAGCCCAGGCTGAAGAGATCTCTTGGTCTTATCTGTTGCTGTGGTCTAGGTACCACTGCATGGGACAGTGACCCATACTAGGTGTGTGGGTTACACCTTCACAGAAAGGAACAGGCTGGCCAGGAGACCACTAACCTGTTAGAAAGTCTGAGAGTCCCACACGTTCTAACTCCAGCCGCCTACCCAGACACTCCCGCTGGTCAAACCCAATCCTTTGATGCTCCCCGCCCAGCTGTCGTACTCCAGACCCTGAGGGGCCCTGAATTGCAGGGGTGGGATCCAGGTGGCCTGGAGGATTAGTGGGGGGTCCAGCTCTGCTCTGCTGGTTCCTGGCATCACTTGGGGTGGGGGAATGGAAGCCAGAAGGAGTCAGGGTGCGGGTTTGGGAGAAGAGGTGGAATGTGGGTAGGGAGGGGGAGGAGCAGGCCTGGGAAGAGGCAGGCAGGGCTGAGCTGGGACAGGTTGCTCGCTGCTGATGGTGCCAGGCCCCCCACTTCTCCCTGAAACACAGGACCCCCCGAAGTGCAGTTGCCCTGGTCTGCCCTATGGCTGGGGCAGCTATAAGCCCAAACCATGGGCCCATATAACTCGTCACCTATGGTGACAGGCACTGGAGACTATTCCCAGCATGTGTGTAACCTACAGACAGAGCAAGCCCAAAGACTTTGGCTCTGAGCTGCAGGGCACGAGGCTCTGACACAGCACCCGTCACTATGCTATTGGGAAGCCACTGATGATGTGTCCAACAAATTGCTGTAGTGGGGGGTGAGTCAGGGCCAATGGTAGGCTCCTAGCTAGGAAAATCCATCCCTAATTTTCAAGGCGGGATAAAGATGGACGGCAAATTTAACTTGGTTTTAGGTGAAGCCTGGAAGTGCCGGCTGAATTTTCCCGTAATGATTTAATGGACCATTCAAAAAATTACAGATCTATACAACTCTGGTGCCTCTGTGGAAGTACATGGCTTCCCTTCGAGGGCAGTGTGGCCTTGTGGGAAAAGCTGTAGACTACTACTTGGAACACCCGACTTTGCCTCGAGTTGCTGTTGCGTATGCTGCATGCCCTCATGCTCCCTCTTTCCTACCCACACCCCTGTCTGGTTAATTGGTAAGTTCTTTAGGACTGTCTCATGCTCTCTTTGGACAGTGCCCAGCTCAGAGAGGCAATGGGGGAAGGAATAAACAATAAAGCCACCCAGTGCTCAGCAGACATCTCATCTTCCCTATGATGAGCAGCAGCGGTAAAGTCCTACTGGTGAGGCTTTGACTCAGGCCTTTAGTGCTTTAAATCAAGCGAGAAAGCCCCATGCTGTGACTGCGGAAGTTCAAACCCCGCTGTTAGCCTGCACAGCATCAAGGCTCGCCATTACGGGAGGGTTTGACTGGGGCATTTGACCTCGTGGGGCAGCGCCATCCCAGAATGGAGCATTCCTAGCTCCTCTCAAACACCTATTCCTTGACAGGAAGAACAGCATTGCGCAAGAGGGGGCAGTGTAGACGCTCCTTCTTGTGCAAGAGCCTCTTCTGAAAAAAATGCTGGCTCATTCGGTATGCAAATGAGGCTCGGCGATATTCCATGCTTAGCCTCATTTGCATATTACTTGCACAAGAAACCACGAGTGTAGACATAGCCCTGGTGTGGGTCACTGTCCGATGCAGTGGCACCTCGACCACAGCAACAGATAAAAACTAGAGAGCTCTACAGCATGGGCTGAGAGCCAGCTGACTTTTAGCTCAAAGGGCAGCAGCTCCTCTACTAAGCTCCAAAGATCGCAGGTTCAAATCCACCTGGGGGCAGTTACATTAAGGGCTCCCCGTGCCCCCACCCAGATTAGCAAAGAACAACCGGTATGGATTTCTGGGCTCCATTCAGATTTCCATTGAGTTTTTCAGTTCACGTCAAACAGGAATATGAAACCCAGCAAACTCCCTGGGAATGAAATTCAGACCCATAATGTGTGGTTTATGACTCACTCGCTATTTATAGAGCACAGACCTGGGTGAGCTTAATTTCTGCGTGCCCTGCGTGTAGGCAGTGACTGCGTACACTATATGTAGGGTGCACTACACACAAGGGCATAACATTGTAATTTCCCAGGCATGGTGTGTTCTGTATCGGGCCTCTTTATCAACACAGAGCTAGGCAATCAAGAGAGGTCTCAAATTCAGGTTAGAGAGCAGGCACACGGTTTTAAACTGGGATTCGCCCTTAGAACAGACTACCAAGAGGAGCTGTTCTCCATCTCTAAGGGTCCTCACATCACATCCCCCTTCTGCAAGAATGAGGCAAAGCCAAGTGTCTGGGCTCAGTGCAGGGGTCACTGGGTGAAACTCTATGGCCTGGAGACCATAGAGTGGATGGAACATACTGGTTGCTTCTGGTCTATGAATGATTGAACCACACAGAGCTCAAAACAATGACCAACGAGTAGCTGAAAGGTGGGCGTGGCATATGCAGGGAAATAGAAGCATGGCTGATGAGAAGCAATGGAATAAGGCCAGAAAGGAACCAAGGGTGGAGGTGACTACAGGAGAAAGGCTGTGACAAAGTGATCCACTACTTATTCCATGCAGAAACGGTGGAGAGTCGACCCCAGCGCTTGGGCGTTTCAAAGCCCAGTGAATGACTGAGTAGTAAATGCACTGTGGGGACAATCCTGCTTTGGAGGGAGGAGCACGGAGGTTGGAAGGGAAATATATGGTCATGCCAATTTTCTTCCACAATTTGATCTGAGGAAGTGGGTCGGGCCCAAGAAAGCTCATCATCTAATAAACCATCTTATTAGTCTTTAAAGTGCTGTATAGTCCTGTCTTTTGTTTCAGCAAGACCAGACTAACATGGCTACATCTCTGTTACTATGTTTCAGAGGGGTCATCACACCTCCTGCTCCGCGCTTCCTCTTGAAGCTCACAGCTCTGTGACAAAGCCACCTGGAGATCCCGGCAAGAGGGTGGAGAGCTTCCAGCAGTCGCCGGGCAAGGTTGGAACCCGTGGACAGCCCTGGCCTATGTTCAGGTGTGGTGGTGGGAGAGGGGGTTTGACAAGAGGTGGCGCTCCATGCTGGAGAACCCCTTGCGACATTTCAGTGCTGCTCACTTTGCTAGGCAGTCAGTGCCCAGACACCATGGGGATGGGCAGGATAGAAAACTTCAGGCAGGCAGGTGATCCCCGCGACTGTGGCCTCCTGAATTCACTTCATTTGGTACACATAGGGTTAACACACCAGGTTACGCAATCTGTCCTAAGTGTGTATGTGTACACACACACACACACACACACACACACACACACACACACACACACAGTTTTGCTTTTTCAAACTGCAGCATGAGCCTGCAGGTTCTGCAGAATCCACGCCACACACTTCTCCGGTGGCCCAGCTGGTTTCTCCTCATACCAGTACGTCCTTGAGGAACAGATTTGCTTTGAATTACAGCTCCCCTGGAAAGGGGCGCGGCACCAACAGGGAAGTGCAATGACTTTCCCTCATTCCCAATGGCAACATCTTCACCAAGCAGGTTTCCCTGCCCGTGAGAGTCACATGACTAAATCTCTGCCCAGCTCCTGGGGCTCCGTTCTCTGAGCCTCGGGCCGGGCTCCTGTTTGGGGCACGCCCAGCAGCAGACGACCTGCGGTGGAACCACCTCTCAGGGAAGAGGCACTGGTCACGTCTAAACTGAATGCAGAGGCCTCTTTGTTCATCCGCAGCCTCCCGCTGGGAGCAGGTCACAAGGAGGGATTTAAGAAGAGGGAACAAAGGGCAAGGAGAGCCCCGCACACTAAGTGAGGGTCTACAGTAGAAAAACAAGCACATATCACAGCTGGCAACAGGCCATTAGCACCAGTGCTAAGCTACCATAGTTGCTGTGACTAATCGATCTGCTGTGGAGAGGAAATGCAGGCTTGTGGCTAAGGCAATAGCTTAGGTCCCAGAAGAGCTGAGCTCAGTTCTTGACCCTGCCACTGACTCACTATGTAACCTCGGGCAAGTCACTTAATCCTATGTTTCTAAGTTGTAATGCAGAACTAGAAACACTTCCTTTCTCCCACCCTTGGCTGTATCTATTTTGACTGAAAGCTGGACAAAGTGTAACCCACACACCTAGGGTGGTTACCATGCAGTGGCACCTAGACCATAGCAACAGCTACGATCAAGAGACCTCTACAGCACGGGTGGGCGCCAGCTAGTTTTTAGCTCAGAGGGTAGCAGCTCCTATACTCCACTTCAGAGGTCCTCCTAGCTTTTAGCTTAGAGGGTAGCAGCTCCTATACTCCACTTCAGAGGTCCTAGGTTCAAATCTGCTTGGTGTTGATTACAAAGGCAGGGACTGTCTATTACACAGTGTATGTGCAACACCTAATGCAGTAATCTGGTTACAAAGGCAGGGACTGTCTTTTACAGAGTGTATGTGCAACACCTAATGCAGTAAAATGCCTAGGTGCATGAAGATGCAATTTCAGTCCTGGGCCAGAGCATTCCTGGAGTGCTACTGTAATGAAGTAGCAATTTCAGTCCTGGGCCAGAGCATTCCTGTTTCCTAAGCCAGTATTATCCCAGGTTTACAGTGTGGGAAACTGAGGCACGGCACTGTGGCTGAATGTTACATAGAGAGTGGGTTAAAGCTGGGGAAAGAATTTGGGTCTCCTAAGTCCTACTCATCCATCATCTTTAACTACAAGACTATCCTCATTCACCTAAGCAATTTTCACAGCATCTCGTTTTTGTAAAACACACCCTCCCCTCCCTTCCCCCGCCCCAGTCTGTGAAGGATGCACCCCTCTCACCGTACCTCTATGGTCCATATCTGCAGCCCCGGCTTTCTCTCGATAGTAGGGAGGCCCATGTCGGGGTCCGTCATTCTGCTGATGGAACTGCAAGACAAAGAGCAGCATAACCATCCAATTCGACAAAACAGGAAGCTCAGGGCAGCCTTGGCAGAGGTTTGGTGGGTTGAGTGAGCCAAAGAACAGACTTGCTCCGAGCGGTGTCATTTCAAAAGAGGATCACATGCTGCCCCACGCTCTCATTTGGCCCACGCACGCACTGGACAGGGCCAGACAAGCTGCCAGGCCCAGCATGAGTCAGGCATCGTACCCACGACGAGGCGTTTGGAGCAGAACATCGGCCCTGCCTGCGAGCCCTTTGGCTTCCTACCTCCTGCCTTGTGCTGCGTGGCAGATGGGAGCTTCCGCTATGTGCAAAATGCAGGAATCTCCCCTCCCCCTCCACGCTCAACCTTCTTGCGGGTGAGTAAAAGCAAAGAGGCCGTTTCCAGCAGACAGGGTAACTGGGAAAAGCGACGGGACCTTGTCTGCAACGGGTGTCCCTCCCCGGAGCGCTATCAAACCCAAAGACGGGACTCCAATTTACATCAGCTGAGGCGCTCGCCCACTGCTTTGCCTGTAGGCCCAAAGGGAAGCGGGGGGAACAACATAAACAGCCATTTTTGTTGGGAGCTGTGGTTCTCTTTGGGAAATAAAAATAGCTTCAAGCATCTTGCACTCTTATGATCAGCATCATCCATCTGTAGGACAATTTGGGACAGCCACCCAAGTCCCCACGGCAGCCGCCTCAACCGACCTATGGGTGAAGTTTCTCCAGAGCAGAGGCAGGGGGGAGGAGGAGGAGGCAGGGTGTTGTCTTGGGCACTATTTTTGGGGGGTAAGGACTTATGCGTATGTCCATTTATCAAACGACTTTCATTGCAGAGGCAGCCCAATGTACATACAGATGATTCATTTAATCCATCAGTGACAGGCAGCCACCTCTGGGGTACAACCCAACACTTCATCACCCACTCACAACACCACGCAACTGCTTCAGCCAGGAGGTGAACAGGGACACAAGCGCCAGTGGACATGGCAGAGGGAAGTTTGAATGCAGTTTAGGCAGAGTACTGGGGGCTAACGCTCCCTCTCCCACATTTCCATGGAATACCTGAGCTGATGCCCTGTAATAAACCCCGACAGCTAGGAGCTTTATTGCCCTCACCATTGTTGTTCAGAACTTCTAGGTAACAGGAGGCAGAGGATGTAGACCAGTGTGGGCAAAATTGAGCCCAGGTGCCAGATCCGGCCCGCCAGGCATTTCTCTCCGGCCCACCCAGATGATTAGCAGAAAGTGCACACTTCCAGCCGGTCGCCTGTGTTCCGCTGCCTGCCTGCCTTGCTCTGTTCTGCAGCAGAGAGGAGTCTTCTACTAGCTGTGCAGATGGCGGGGAGGGGGGGAAGAGGGTAATATGGAGGGGAGAGAAGAGAACTGAAGTCACTATGCTCCCTTGCACTCCATCTCCACAGAGCAGGGGTTGGGAAGAGGGAGACACACATCGGAGCTGCTCCTGTCTGAACCCTAGATAGTAAGTGACTCAGAGGAGTGCAGGGTTGGGGAGGGGGAGACAACAGAGCAGGACAGGTTTCCCATAAAGAGACAGAACGTGGCTTCACTTGGAAACTTACCCAGCAGCAGCCGGCACACACACTCTGTGTCGCTGTCACACATCCCCAGTCTGTGCCACACTGCCTCTGTGCCACTCCCAGACTGTCACACAAACTCTGCCCCACACACTTTCCCAGTCTCTGTGCTGCACACACTCAATCTGTGACACAAAGTCTGTGTCTCAGACACAAAGTGTCTCTCTTTCATGCTCACACACTCTCTGTCTTTCTCCGTAGCCCCCAGTCTCACCCCTTCTCCTCAAGGCCTTGCCCTTTCTGGGGGGCCTGGAGCTGGCCCGCGATTACGCATCAAAATTTCTGAAGTGCCCCCCCCCCGCAAAAATTACTGCCCTCTTACTCCATAAACACAGGCTGCTGCCACCTGAATGAAAGTAAACCATGTGTTATCAGTATAAGGTCTATGACATGCAGGTGGCCTGTTCTCAGAATCTCCAGTAGATGGCAATAGAGTGCACATGCACCAGCCAGCTCTCTACTGTACAGGCAGTCCCCGGGTTACGTCAATCCAACTTACGTCGGATCCCTAGTTACGAACGGGGTGAGGCAACCCCGCACTAGCTGCGCCCCCCCCACCCCAGCAGACCAGGGAGACGCGGAGCGGCTTTTCTCGCCGCAGAGGACGCGGGCGGCGGGGCCGCCGAGACGCGACACCTCAGCTTGAGAATAAAGGACTGCGGGAAGTGAGGTGTGGGAGAATAAAACTGAGCTCTGGAGAAATGTTTGGCTAGAGTTTCCCCTACAATATGTACCAGTTCCAACTTACATACAAATTCAACTTAAGAACAAACCTACAGTCCCTATCTTGTACGTAACCCGGGGACTGCCTGTATTTACAATCTTTGGGAGAAATTCTCCCCTCTGTTAAAGTATTGGAGAAGCACAGGAGCAATGAAGGGTATAATGTGACTCACTAACTTGATCTTTTCATCCGTATGCCAAAAGCCCAGTGACGGTGTAATTCTCCGGCTCCCAAATTGGGTTTGCTCACAAGACAGGTAACTATTTATACTAGTTTTAAAAAATACCTGGATTGCATTTTATTCTCAGCCTACCTTCCTGTTGAATGAAAGGCCTGCATTGATGGCAGCCAGCCAGTCCTGCCCCTCATGTGCTTCCTGGTCCTTTGTTAAACTGCATGTATTATGTATCCGTTCCACAGAATATTATTGTTGAATCAGAATTTGGCAGGGCACCAGATGTTTTCCCTTACAGGCCCCGGAGCTCCTAGCAGAACTCAGGTGTTTGGACAATATGCCCTTCTCTTCAGTAAAAGGGTTACCGCAAAAGATTCCACGCACCAGCCGAGCTGGGATAATCAGCTTGAAATAGCACCCAAACACTCAGATGAAAAACTATAATCCAAATGTCAGGTTGAAAAGAGTGATTCTTAACCTTTATCACACCAAGAACCTCCCTTCCCTCTTTAATTATTCCCTGCTCCCTGCCCATATTGAGACCAGAGCAGACACAACCTCTGGCCTAGAAACTATAATGAGGTGCAAACCTCACCTGATCAGCTGTTTTAATGAGATTTCAAGTATATTTCTGCCTGAGGCCAGGCTTGAAATACCACAAATACAACCTTTGGTCACGGGGCTGGTCTTCAGTGGCGGTTTTCAAACTTTTTTTTCTTGAAGAAAATTGTTGATGCCGCGACCAGAGCAGACACAACCTCTGGCCTAGAAACTATAATGAGGTGCAAACCTCACCTGATCAGCTGTTTTAATGAGATTTCAAGTATATTTCTGCCTGAGGCCAGGCTTGAAATACCACAAATACAACCTTTGGTCACGGGGCTGGTCTTCAGTGGCGGTTTTCAAACTTTTTTTTCTTGAAGAAAATTGTTGATGCCGCGACCCAACATATTTTGACTAGAGTGTGGGCTCCGGGGCGGGGCTGAGGATGAGAGCTTTGGAGTGTAGGAGCCCGCAGCAGGGCCCCAGCCAATGGGAGTGTGGAGCTAGTGCTCAGGGCTGGGGCAGTGCGGACTCTCCCTTCACCCTTCACCCAGGAGCTGGGCCTGCTGCTTGCCACTTCTGGGGCGCAGCGCAGTCTGCGGTGCCAGACAGGCAGGTAGCTGCCTTAGTGCCCCTCCCCCTGGCTCACCTGATCTCCCGCAGCAATGAGACCCGGTGCCTGACATTCCACAATCCAGTCCTGGGTCTCCACTT